GAGTCTTAACCATCCAGGCTTGGAAGCTTTGCAGGGAGTGGGGGGGGGGGACACCAATGCCTTTGTTCTGATCAGCCAGTTGGCCGGGTTGTATTCGGAGAAGAGGTGAAAATCATGTGGAGGGTACTGGGCTGTGGCAGCACTTAGCTTTTAAAAATTGTCTTGGCTGTATATTTAGGGTATTTTGTGTACATGTGCAACTATTACTCTTTAATCGTCCTTGACTCAATTAGTAATACTAATTAGGAGGGGAATTGTGATTCCAGGTAAGTCACCCAGCACTGACCCAAAGGAAACCTTTGAATTCGTGACATTGTGAATCATCAAGAAGCTGACTGGCACTTAACAATATATATACATTACATATTAAAACCCAAGATTTTAAGACAGATGTTTTAAAAAAGTTATTATTTACAATAAAGTATTTCAAACCACAACAGTTTCTAAGTATTAATTTTTTTAAAAAGCATGGTTTGACTTTATATTTATTCTCAGACTGAGTTAAGTTTATGCTGTGTATACTGTTCTGTCTTAGATGATAAAGCACTTTCTGTGAATTTTAACTGGCACTTTGAAAGTTGTGGCTGATGATGTCTTACGCATTCTTCATTGGCAGGTTCCAGTTGCACACTGTTTTGGGCCTCCAGGACATTACAAAAGAAAGTTTTGCACTGTGTGCAGAAAGTCACTAGAGTCACCTGCCTTTCGATGTGAAGGTAACTTAAAAACCACTACTTGTATAGGTGTCTGTGTGTTACCCAGTAATGTACTCTTTCCTTACATTGCATACCTTGAGAGTACATATGCGCTTACTGTGTTTGAGAGATTTTTGGGTTGTTTGTCATCCACTTAAGACTGTGGAAATGTGTGCTTCAAATTACTGAATAATAAATCAATAACCTTCAATAGACTTCAAACAGACTTTGTGAAACACATATGCTCTTTCATCTTTCCCCCAATTTACTCTGAGCAAGTCTGTAGTGTTGATGGTATGCAATGAATCCATGCCTGAGAAGTGCAAAGAATGGGAAGCTATTATGGCAAAAAAGAATTCTCCTGTTGAGGTAATTTATTTCTGTTTCCAGTGGAAGCTTTTAATACAGGGAATCATCAGGTATTCATGTTTCTAAAACCTCCCCCTTTCTACAAAACAATGGAATATAACTTTTCTGTGTTACTGGTCTCAGATATCCATTGCTTATAATGGGGATGAGGTGCCTTCAATGGAAAGATATTTGAAAATATTATTTGTCAAAATAATACTGCTGACACAGAGTCTCTGAAAAAACAGTAATTGAAGAAATCACTCAAACACTAGAATTATTTGAAATACATGTTGGCATGAGTACTTGACTGCTTTTGACGTGGGGCAACTCCTTAATTCTCCCTCGTCTCCTCTGTCTTGAATGTCTAGAAGTTGTTCAGTTGATGTTGTGAGGTTGAATAGAACTTAGTATTTTAAAGGAGTATTATCTGTGAACTGTTAAAAAAAAAAAATGTTTCTGAGAGAAGAACCAATTCTGTAGGGATTTGAGATACTTTCAAAATTGCTGTTACGCTAAAGATAAAGTCTTATTTAATATGGTCTCCTATGTGTATGGGTAGAGGAAACATTTCTCTTTGATCAGGGCATTTGGACTTAAAATGGTGCAGTGTTTTTGTTTCTGCTTTTGCAGCAACAGGTGAGTTGCATATCTGTGTTCTTCTTGACAAGTGGGAATCTGTCACTTAATATAGTTACCATCTGAGTTGGATGATTTGGTGGGATGGTTGAAGAGCTACAGATACCACAGAGTCTTTTCTGATGATCCATCTTAATAAGCCTTAGAACTTGTGTGGCATGAGATAAACAGAGAATTTGAAAGAAAATTTTCGCTAGCTATGTCCTCTTAACTCTTGAAAACAGCTTTAGTTTAGTGATCTATTTTAGTTAAAGCTTTCTAAATTTTGCTTTCATATTCTTGCTCTCTTAATTCTATTGTATTAGTATTGTACCCATTGCAAGGGAATATTTATTTTTTCAGCCGTTTCCATTTAAGTGTTCTTAAACAAGAAACACATGAAATTGCATGTTATATTTAGGTATTACAAATGCCCGCACATTTTTTTTTCTGGTTCAGTGGCGGTTCTGAATTGTGTTCCTTGCATGGATTGAACAGTTTTCTTGTTTTGTGTGGTGTCACTAGTTTGCTATCCCATTTTTCTGAATACCAGTAAGTCTACAACTTGTTTCTCTGATACTTCTCCAAAATGTAGCTTAAAAAGGGCAGCTGAGTTTCATAAAATGCATAAGTCTTCATTTACTTTTCAAAAATACTTTTCAGAATTTGTTTTAGAAGTCAGCTGTTTTAAGCTGTAGGGCTTTTAAATCCAGATGGGCATGTTGAACTTCCTTTTTTTTTTGCTTGCTTCTAATGACTTAACCTAATAGTTCAAGTCTACTTTTGGTTATGATGTTCTCTTCTGATACTGAAATTCAGAGAACCTTTTCCTGGACTATTTGTCATAACTAAGATAGAATAGAGGGCTAAGATGAAATTACCTTTTCTAAGCAAATGGTTAACAACATTAGATGTACTTGTAAAATAATTGAAATAACTTGGTTTGGACTCTTCATATCTTACAATAAAATACATTTTCTTGAAAGGAAATTGAAAATTTTCAGACAAGTACTAAACACTGTGGGTGTATGGGGGGGCATCTGTTCTCAGAAATGAGCATACTTGGTATATATTAACCCCTGATGAAGTAAGTACATATGCTTCATTGGCAAAAATTACAATATTTGGACTCCAAATTTTGCTGACAATTACTAATTGCTTTGCATAGCTATTTTGGCCGTAGAATTCACTGGTAACAGTTGAACCTGGACTCACGATGGTGACAGTTGCTCTCACTTTTCTTTCCAAGAAGGACTGGAAAAAAAAAAAAAAAGAGGAAAGGGAGCAGCCTGAACAATTTTTTTTTTTTTTTTTTTTTAGTGTTGGATCCTTTACAGAAGTTTCTTATTAAGCATCAACCAGGAGCAGCAGATTTACTGGGGAGGGAGGCAGTTACCATTTTAAGGATTATTCTGCCAAGCTTATGCATCTGGAATTAACCTTGGGGTTTGGGCAATTATAAAGGAATTCACAGCACTTTCATGACTAGCTTGAACAGAAAACCGTCATTCTGTTATGAGTTAAGGAATTTTGTAGCTTATGAAATGGCTAATAAGGATTAAAATTCTTTTTGTAGGCCCTCTGGTTTGACTTGATCTTTACATACTAAAAACTTCATATTTCCTATCAGCAGGATAGCTATCTTAAGGGTTTAACTCCTTTGACACTCATGCCCTTCATGTGCACAAATTTTCTGCTTAATTCTGAGTTGTGGTTGGTGTTAGAAGCAGCAGATGTCAATTAAACCAATGAAAAAAACCAAAATGTGTTCTTAAAGTTTAGCAAAGGGCAGCATGCTCTTGTGTTAGCAGAATTAATGATAAAAACCCCAAGACTTTTGTTGATTTCTCGAAGCCCTAATTAGGTCTACAGAAACTTTTACCATTTGTGAGGGTATGACTCAAAGCATCTAGCCTGCCTGGTAGCTGAATTGGCAAAACTGTAAAATATTGCTGTTATATCTATGAATAAGGGGAAATGTGAGCAAAGGAGGGACTCTGTCATGCCTCGTACAAAGTTCTTGAGCTCAGTGAAGGCACGCAGTCTGGGGAGCTGTATGTGAAAGCTTGTGGTTAACTTAGTAAGCCCTGCTAAAAGAGACTTTGCTTTGGTGTGGTGGTAGATCATGGTCTTCTGCGGGGTTAAAGTCAGACAGTGTTAGTGCTGATTGCCTTTTCTAGAGCCCAGAGAGTGATTTCAAAATAAGGTATTATTCTCTGTCATTTAATACTGTTTTCAAGATACTTTCAGATAGTTTGGCTAACATGCAGTTGCTACCTTCCACTCTGGGTTACAGTCTTCAGATTTTTGTGATGTGGTTGAAGCAATAACCTGTTTGAGCAGAACAGGAAAAAATATTTGAAGAATTCAATGTTTGCTTCTTATTTTCAATTACTTGATGAAAAATCAGATGCCTTCCCAGAGTGCCTGTATACACAAGTCTTTAAAAAGCAGCTAGAGGAGGATCTTTTTCAACCATGTCTGTCTATGAAGTCCACAGAGAACTTTCCTAACTCTTGCAGTAATGAAGCTAGGTTTCTTTTAGCTAGGTAAATCTTTTAGGTTTGTTTTGTTGGTTTTTTTTAATGACTGATCTTTTGCAGCATAGCATTTTAGCTGGGTTTGGTTTTTTGCATCTGATGCTTCAAGTCAGCTTTTAAGTGTACTTTATACAAAACTAAACTTGCCTAAAACTTTGTAGGCTTCACTAAAACTTTTTGCAGCTACGGTATCTAACAGGTATTTGTGAAGACAATGTTAAGCTGACTTAGTAGAGCTTGCTGAAAAATACTAATTTTCTTTTCCTGACAATGAAATGGTGATTTACTGCATGCAGACGTAGCTTGGACAAATCTCTGAGATTTAACATACCAAGTTTATTCCGGTCAGGTTTAAAATTAAATCCACTCAGTGTCATCTGGCAATAAAAAAAAAAAAAAAAAAAAAAAAAAGATTTATTTCCTGAGTAAAACATGCTTTCTGGCTGTTACAATCCGCCTGGGAATGATGTCCTCCAGTCATTTAGCATGTTCTGACATCAGCGTGTGTCGTATTGCTTTGCAAACGCAAGTGAGTCCGTGCTCGTGTAGGCGTGCCATGAGGCTCTGTGGCTGATCTGACTTCTGCCGCGTCTCCTGCGTGACCGTGGGAGAGACGGGGCTCCTGGCTGTGAGCAGGAGGGGTGCACTGCTGCCTTGCCACTGGTTTGGCGGCAGCGTCCCCTGCTTTGCTGAGGCTGGGGCTGGAATGCACCTCGTCCCTTGTTTCCTTGTGCTTCTGACAGCTACAGGGATGGAGAAGAAGGGCTGTCCAGCAGAAAAGCATCTGCTGTTTTGAACCCATTTGTGACGTGCCCGCTTGCTCTGCAGTAGGGTTTGGAAAAGGGTTTGTAAAGGGAATGGCGTGTTGCTTCAGGAAGGCCATTACTTTACACTCAAGACTTGATGGTATTTGGATGCAGAAGGGGAACTTTTTCTGTTAATGCTTGTAACATTCAGCTTTTTTTTGAATTTCATTAAATCAAAGTAGACTTCAGGCACAATTATATTAGAGTAGGCAGCAGTTCCTGTGCAAGCTGTGAGACTAATGCTGTACTAAGCCAGAGAGTTGTTACAGATTGAACTTGCTGCATTGGAGGAAATACAGCAAGTGCTTATGAGCAAAATTAGCTTGGCCTTCCGTTATATGTGCTGCATCCATCAGTTTAACACACAGGAAATGGAGCAACACACAGGACAATGCTGAAAAACTTATTTTATTGCCTGTCTTTGCTGAATGGAAGAGAGTATGAAGGAAAGAAAGTATGGTGCGAAAAGGTAGTGGAGGAGGGATGGATGGAGGGAGGGAAGAGCTGCAAAAACCCCGGGGTTTCCAGCTTAAAGAAGTTTTCTTGTTTTCATGCTTTTAGTTTGTGAGCTACATGTGCACACAGACTGTATCCTGTTTGCTTGCAGTGACTGCCGACAGTGTCACCAGGATGGGCACCAGGACCACGTAAGTGCGAATGCCTCTGCAACAGAAAGCCCTCATGCGTTTTCGGTGTGAAAACATGGGCTAGAGGAGGGGGAGGAGTGTTGGCCTTTTTTTCCACATGCTGCCAATTATCAAAGCACTTTTGTTGCTTATTGGCAGGCGAAGGAAACGTGGCTTCAGAATGTATCAGAGAGAGTGAGATGAACTTAAATTCTGACATATTTGCGATGCTTATTGAAGCCATTTTGAAAAGTCTGTGCAATGTATGTAATGTCCTAATTAAAAAGAAAAAAAATCAAGCATCTTATCTAAAAATTTGCATTGCAGAAGCCGGCATGGAACTCTTTTACTATATGTTGAGCTTCTGGCTGCATTGCATCCCTAGCAAACATTATCATGTCCCTCAGGCTTCCTGCAGTCTGTCTGATGCAAGACTGCCCAGCTTCTCACTGTAAACTACATGCATAATACTGACCTTTTCAGAGATTTTTTTTTGTTTTAAAGAATACTGCTTTTGGTGGACAATGAAAAGAAAGCACTATGTAATAATTTTTTTGACAATTTGATAAACTTCTTTTGGTGAAATATAAGATTATTTGGGGTCATTTTTATAGTGCAATATTTAATGTCCTAGTCTATGTTGCTCTTTCCTCAGAGGAGTTTGAATTGCTGATTTTAAAGTTAGGTTGAAGATGCTTCTGTATGTGTTCTGTGTAACACTAAGTTGTGATCTGTTCCCCCAGGATACTTACCACCACCACTGGAGGGAGGGAAACCTTTCTTCAGGTGCTCGTTGCGAAGTTTGCAAAAAAACCTGTGGCTCTTCTGAGGTGCTTTCTGGCATGAGATGTGAATGGTGTGGCATCCTGGTATGTTGTGCTGTGGTGTGTGTTTGTAAGAACTTTATGTATATACACACACACACATATATATGCACATGCTTATTTAAATACTTTATATAAATACACTTTATTTGTACACTTTATAAATATACTTTATATGCACTTCATTTATACACTTATTTATATAAAATATATGTTTGTATAAGTTGGGTGGAAAATCTGATTTTTAAAATTCCCCCCAGTTAGTCATTAAAAAGAACAATACTCAAAATCAGTTAAACTTTATGTAAATCCAATGGAATTAAAATTTAACACGGACTAATTGTTATAGATTTCTGCTTAGAAGCCTGTAGTTACTTTTCCTGCATGAAATCGGAATTTCTTTCAAATCACATGAATTCTGCAAGGTCAAAAACTTACCATTCTAATATCCTTATTCCTTTTTCAGTGTAGAATAGTTCTTAACCTGTATGATTGGAGGGTTTTTAAGCTCTCAATATTTTTTTCTGTGTTTTTCCATTCACATGATGCATGTTTAATTCCTGTGCAACATGATGGTACCTTTCAGTAATGCTTATGAAGGCCATGGTTTTTCACATACTGATACACAGTCCGCTGTGTAGATAACAATTGGTCCATCCACTTAATGCTGCCTGTTATTGAAACATAATGGAAGTGCAAAGTAGCACCAGGTGGGGTGTCTTTGAGAACAGTCTAACAAAAGTAGAATGCTGTGTGGCCAGACGTACAAAGGTGTGCATATTCAATAATGGCAGAAGATCTCACACAAGTATAAAGGCAGAATCTGGCCAGTCATGTTTTGGAATAAAACTTCAAAAAGTGTTATCTCTGAATCTGCAAGTAGGTACAGCTGTGTAAGAGGAAGAGGATATTGCTATTTTCAAGCTATTGAGTATACCCTGCCTACCTTTCCCACCTTCCCCAGTAAATATCCATAAGAATGGAACATCGAGAGTTTGAGACCAAAACTTTAAACTTCTCCACACAGTGTTTAAAAACCTTTGGTTCTTAATAGAGCAGGTTTGTAGTATTTGGAGTTTCTGCACATGTTAAGACTTCTCATTATTGGTTATATAAAAACTGAATGGAACAAATGAGATTCTAGGCTGAAAAATGGGTCACTCATTCCGTGAAAGGGATTTACAAAAGGTCTATACATGTCCTAGCCTGAGTATTGCAATTGCAGTGCATATTTTGTTATAAACAAATTTGCTTTCTTGGTGTCTCACTAAGTTCTTAATTGATTTTTCTATTTATAGGCTCATGCTGCTTGCTACATAATTGTCACACCAGAATGTACTTTTGGAAGATTAAGGAACATGATTCTTCCTCCAAGCTGTGTGCAGTTATTTTCTCGTAACTTCAGCAAACTGCATTGTTTTCGAATATCAGAAAATTTGCAAACAGAATCAGGTAAAAACTTTAAAAGCCGAATAATTGATGAGCATGTTTAACCTAGTGTTGTAATTCACTGAAGCACGTGATTGCTAAGTTTCACTGGCTTTTGTGCCAAAACTGTAACTGCGTGTTATTTCTGGGACAGGATAGAGATTTTTAAATGCAGACTGTGTGCAAAATGCTGCAACTTCTGTTTACTGGTGCAGGGCAATTTGAAAAATGTTCCTTAAATAGTAAACATGCAGGAAGAGAAAACCTAAAATTCAAAAATTTGCTTAGTGGGTTAGTTTTATCATTGCTACAAGCACTTGCTGATATACATGTTGGGTTTTATTTGGCATATCATGTATATAGATACTTTTATTTGCCTCTTTGATTAAGCATCTGCCCTTTTTAAGATATCTGTGCTGAAAGGAAGTCATGTATTTAGTAGGGTAATGTTCTGCTGCCATCTAGAGTGTATGTTTGTTTAACAGCTCTTTAGGAATAAGAGATTTTTAAGCCACTACAGCATTTTTCTAATTTCTGTTTTGATTATTATGTTCTTGTAAAGCCTTTCTTTTGGTGCTTGAATACAGTAGGAAAGCAAATAAAAGGTAGGCAAAATGTATGTCCTGGAACATAAATATTTGCAGCTGCACTTTTCTCAACCTGACAGGCTATTCTTTAACTTCCTGCTTTGAACATGTAGTTTTGGTTTTGGTGAAGGCAGTTGGTCGCCACCTGTTCTCATGTGCAGAAGCTATAGCAGGAGTCGTGCTACTGCATAAACTTCATGACCCTTAAATCTACAAAACCTAGATACACTGAAGTGACCTATGAGAGCATGAAGTGGGGAGAGGAGGCATTATGTTGCTTTTGTCTGTTGGCATGTTTTTTTCAGTGAGTTATTTTTATTTTTACTGATTTTGCTTGTCGGTGGGGGAAGGTAAAGTACAGCACATACCTGAAAGTCACGGAATTTTTAATGCTTCCAACATAAGAAATACTAGAAATAAACAATCTGGATGAGCTTGTTTTTTTGCTGAAGACTCATTATGAACCTTGATTCAGGTCTATTGTTAGGTATTCTACAAGTGTCCCAAAGGCTTGAGTGAAGATAAGGCTATATTATTATTAACAGAATTTAATCACAAACCTTCGGGTGTGACTTTTCTGATGTTAAAGAAGTTTGTCTTTTAAACACTGATGTGTTCTTTTAATATGTCAGACTTAAACTTTTTCCTTTTTAATTTTTAAGTCACCTCTAAGTAAAAATTGAACACAGAGCACCTTGAGTGAAAGAATCCAAGGTTATAGCTGCACCTTCTTGTTTCTTCCTTCATTCTTTTACATGATGGAGGAGAAGGTTTTCCATTTCAGGACTTAGGCTACATGCTAAGTGTATGAGTTCATGTTATGCATATGCAAGGTTTTTTTAAGTAATAATGTTTTTTGCATTCCTTTAGTTAAAATGTCTTTACTTTTAATTGAGTGAATGCAGTGCAGATCAGTCGCTAGCTGGTGGTCAGAAACAGATGCATGGAGAAGAGGAAATACTCAGTAACTTAATTTGGACCATTTCCAGAGCTTTAATGTGATATGAAAAAAACCTGAAGAAACCCCACCACATATGGAAATGCATTTTATAGTGCTCAAGCCTGTATATACCCAGATAAAATAGAGCAACACGCTGAAAAATCTGTTTGCTAATACCAGATCTCTTTTCTGCTGGTCTGTGAGAATTTCTGCTCCTTGGGCTCAGCTCCCTGTCATGTGGTGGGCAGTGGCCTCCCAGGGCGGAGGGTCTGAGCCGTGGGGATGCCCCACTTTCTTCCTGCCACTGGTCCCAGCCATAACTCTGAACTTGATGGTTGCTCCCAGCACCTGCCATCTTCCTTTCTTCATTGTCAGTGGGCCCCAGTTGTGGCTCAGCACAAGGCATGGAGAATAAATTTGCAGTGCGGTACCTGCCTTCCAGCCTGCTGTGCGTAAGGCATTTTATTCTGTTTTTCCTACTTGTTTTAGCACCTAGGTCCCTGATGTTCAGGTACAAGTCCGGTGCCTTCGTACGTGGCTCCTTGTAACACTGTTTGCATCCTTTTGAGGCTTGTTTTAAGACCTGTTGCTGGAGTTTTCCCACTCTCAGTTGCCTGCTGGAGATCATCTATCTTCAGGTCCCTACCAAAGGCACCAACTACCTTTGCTACGCAGGTCTTTCAGTCTGCCCAGTTTCTCCCTTAAAGGCAGAGTTGGGAATTGCCTTAAGCTATTTCTCACATCATCCTGCTTTCAGGGAGCTCAGTGTACTGGCCTGGTAGTCCTTCTTGTTACCCATGTTCACAGAACAGACCTGCAACTTCTTTCAAAAACTTACTGTCTCCTGGCATGTGCTGGAAGTTACCAAGATGTGTCATAGGTCCAGCAGCTCCCTGACAGCCTTCAGGATCGAGAGCAGCCCTGCCAAGAGGGTCTTGGGGGTACTGGTGGATGAAAAGCTGGACATGAGCCGGCAATGTGTGCTGGCAGCCCAGAAGGCCAAGCCTACCCTGGGCTGCATCAGGAGCAGTGTGGCCAGCAGGTCGAGGGAGGGAATTCTGCCCCTCTACTCTGCTCTGGTGAGACCTCACCTGGAGTCCTGCATCCAGCTCTGGAGCCCTCAGCACAAGAAGGACAAGGACCTGTAGGAGTGGGTCCAGAGAAGGGCTACAAAAATGATCCAAAGGCTGGAGCACCTCTCTTATGAGGACAGGCTGAGGGAGTTGGGGTTGTTCAGCCTGGAGAAGAGAAGGCTGCAGGGAGCCCTGATTGTGGCCTTTCAGTACTTAAAGGGGGCCTATAGGAAAGATGGGGAAAATCTTTTTAGTACGGCCAGCTGTGACAGGACAAGGGGTAATGGTTTTAAACTAAACCAGGGTAGGTTTAGACTGGATATAAGGAAGAAATTCTTTACACTGAGGGTGGTAAAACACTGGAACAGGTTGCCCAGAGAGATAGTGGAAGTCCCATCCCTGGAAACATTCAAGACCAGTTTGGACGGGGCTCTGAGCAACCTGATCTAGTTAGCAGTGTCCCTGCTCACTGCAGAGGGGTTGGACTGGATGACCTCTAGGGGTCCCTTCCAACCCAAAACATTCTATGATTCTATGCATTTGAAACTCCTCTGGCCACAGAGCAGCTCGGTACAGCTGCCCTGGGAGTTGCTGCTGCTTTTCCAGGGGAAGGCGTAGGCTCTGGATGGCAGATCTTGTTAAAGATTATGTGCATGTTAGGGATGTTTCCTGGGAGCAAGGAGCATTTCAGCTTTGCTGGAGGATAATTAGCTCTTCTGTCCTCACTTCTGCGGGACGTGTTGTGCAAGCACACTTGTTCAGAAGTCCTCACACTGCGGCATGCACAGAGGGTGCTCTTCTGTTGCCACAGCTGATGAAGAGCATTGCTCAGAAGATTGTGAAAAGACCAGTCTGCTGTACCAACGGAGTGTTGGTGGTCACCTTGATGGGTTAACTGCTGCAGGCACAGGTCTTCCCAAGTTGATGGTTGGAAATTGTCAGATGACTTGTCCTACACAGAGAATGAGCACATCATCGTTGACCTACTCAGGAGCATTTGCCCAGATTAGCTTTTGCCACTGAGTAAATGCTAAGCTTCATGGGCAACATTCAGTGAACATCTCTGTGCTAAAAGTGTCTTTCCAAAACTCTTGGGCTACCAGGGAAGTGATGGCAGAATAGTTATCTCCCCGTGGTCCAAATGACTCCTGTCTTAGCGTATTTCAAAAGAAGTCATTGAACTTCATGGGAATAGTTTCAAGATGCTGTTAGTGTAGATTTCCCTAATGTCCAGACTGAGGGAGAAAGTGTAATAAAAGAAAGATGTCAGCTTCTTCCCATCTAAACTTAGAAAAAGGGGAGGGTTGGGAGCAATCAGGAATTCTTCTGATTCTTATTGTTGTATTTACTTACTCTTTTTTTTTTTTTTAATTTGATTCTGTCTGAAGGGAAATTCGAGAAGGCATTCAGCTTCCATTTATTTCAGCGTGTTTCAAGACCATATTGTCTAAGTTTCTCTCCAATTTGAAACTTAATCTGTTTGTCTGTCAACTATAACAGGGAAAGTATTTCAAACCTTCTTTTATATTTTAAAAACCCTAATCCAGAAACATTATTGTTGGTCGGTCTTGTAGTCAGCTGAAGCATTACCCAAATATTCGGTTAGTTACCTGGTCTCCATTTTAGGACTCCTACTAGGTACCCTTATTGACATGCTGTGATTCTGCTTCTTGGAAGGTTTTCCTGCATTAGGATTCTGACTTCCCTAGTACCTCTTTTGCTCTGAAAATCTGTCTTTACTGGTTTTATTTTAATTTTTCTCTCCTTTGTGCTTTGATTTCCTGCTTTCTTCTTCAGCTGCAAGGTATAGTTTTTATAAAGGTGTTATCTGGCTTACATCTTTGGGAGCTTTGTCTGCATCCCAATCAAGACTGACTGGGAGTTTCAATGGGTGGGAGTGTGAGTATTGTTATACCGTCGGCACACTGGGCTGGCTTATGTTGCACACTACTGCTGCCCTTAAGAGAAGCAAAATTTTACCACGTTTGGATTTGCACCAGTCTTCCTGTATGGACCTGAGAGTTAGGAATGAGAATGCAGTCAGAATGTTATCTTCACAGAAGCAAATGTAAATGTTAATAGCTTTTATTTTAAACTTTTCTATGTATTCTATGTGTAATTTTACAGGCTGTGTTATTATCTGATATGTTAGCTCCTAGCTTTTAGTGAGAGCAATGAGCTGCTTTTAAACTCCTCTTCTGGAGTCCCGTAATTTCTTTCTATTTGGGTGTCACTAAATCTATTTTTCAGTTACGGAAATATTTATATGATACCCATACTTCTGACTGGAAAGCTGTTACTGCAATTGCTGGACTGACTTGGTGGTTTAAAACTTAATGGAAACCATACATACTTCAGTCATAGGCAAACACTGCAGCTTGAAAAAGGGATGAAATGCAGTAGTTGCAATATTAAAGCTAATAGTAGAAGGACTTCAGGTATGCCTTCACTGTAGTTACATGACAATGCAGGTTTGGTTTTTTTAATGCTGTTTTTATAGTATGGATTATTATCATAAAATAGGCAGAATAAAGAGTGCTCTTCTGATTGGAATCTTTTGTGTTAGTTTCTTTGATGGAAACCATGCCTAAATGAAAAACATGCCCCCCCCCCCCTTCCCCTCACCCCGCCTAGTTTAAATTAACAAGAATTCTTTCTTAAAATGTTTCTGGTTTTGCAGATGAAGATGATGATGTTGATGGGTCAACACAGGGATCAGCAAAAGATGTCCAAATTTCAACAGATTCAAGTAAGCAGAATTTTAGTAAGTGGTGAATACTCACCCATTCCAGTCTTTATTCATATAATCTGAACGGGCTTTGCCGTATGAAAAAACATTAAATGGCTATTTTTCGAATGCTCGGTATCAATTTGAGTTCCAAAGTTTTGGTCCAACACATTTATCCAGGGTCTTACAAATATCTCATTGCTCTTTTCCACTGGTACATTGGCATAAGTGACAATCTGTTCATTACCCTGCCAAGTAGATTATTTCTTTCTACTTGGTAAGTGAAGAAAGAAAGCGTGGTGTTAACAATCCATAGACAAGCATAGATGAAGGGCAGACAGCATGTCTTTTCAAAGTCTTTTTCTTTTAAGACAGCTTAGTTTATCTAAGAAACTTCCACTTTTTCCGGTGTTTTAAGTGACACACATGGTTGAGTGTCAGGACTTTTATACTTGACCAACTAACAACTTGACCAACTTCCAATACTCGTGACTGTCAGAGAGAGCAAATTATGTATCCAGATATTTCAACTGGGTTGCTTGAAAGTACTAATGCAGTACAGTTCAGTTTTAGACAGCCTTCTGAAAAGAAAGAAAAAAAAGATGAAAATTGGGGGCAGGATACAAACTTTAATATATCGTTTGTTCATATACAGTGTCCATCTGTGGACTGGAGAAGCAGCAGTAGATGGTACGTTTTCAAGGCTTATGTAAAGGGTTGTTACTTGTGTTTTAAATAGAACAGTGGCATTAAAAAAAATTGCTTCCTCTTAATACAAAAGTCGACGTAGAGCCCAGTAACTTTGCTATGGTTTAGAAAGCTCAATAGGTAGGGAATGAGTCTGATGTCTCTTTAAAAACAAAGCATTCCTCAAAAAAAACAGGTTAAATGTTTGAAAGCTTTAGTCCAATGATGTTAAGGGTCTCCAAATCTGGTACAGGTAGAGGTACTCACCAGTAGAGGTGAAGCTGCTACAGCATCCTGTCCCATCTGTGGCTGAGCAGGATGAAGGTCTGTTAGTGGGAATGTGTGCGTGTATATATATATGTATTTTGTTACATATATATGTGTATATATATATACAGGTGCCTGTGGCTGTGTGCATGTATGTGTGCATACACATACGCACACGCACACCCTCTCTCCCCCCCACCCCAAGGTCTCTTGGTGGACCCCCAGCGCTCACGGTTTCTCCAGCAGTCGTCCTGGACCTGCTGGTCCCTCCAGTAGTCATCTCCGCCGGGTGCCTCGCACACAGAGATGCACGCACACCTGGCTCCTGGGCCACTTACCTTGCATGCCAGTGAGCCCAGCCTGATGTTTGCTGGTGCTCATACATCTGTCACTCTGGTTGCTGGCACCATGGACACATGGGTCACAGTGGCTGTCAGTTCTGCTTCAGTTGCTGCATTCTACGTGTGCACATGCATGTAGAAGACTGGAAACCACATCCCCAAAAAGAGTTAGAAATAACTTTTAATGAGAAGACAAGACAGGTTGTGCTGATCGGGTGCAGGGCATGGCCAGGCAGGTGCACCAACCAGCAACCTCTTTACATATGACCAGCTTCTTTTATCTCCTTATCCCTCTATTTTTGCATACTTGTTCCTCCCCAAACCGCCTGGATCCCTCCCATCCTCTGCCTTTGGTGCCTTCCCTAAACATCCCCAAACAACTCTTGTACAATCCCAGAATGCTCTTCCCATGCATCTCATAGAGCCCCACACTCTGAGTGACCTCCTCTGTTGGTGAGGTGACCCACAGAGCTTCTCCTGCTGACTTGCCTGGTGGGTGCCACCCCCAGCCCATGCCCTTGCATCAGGGCAGGACATGGCTTCTCTGGTAACTTCTCTGACAAAGTTATTGGGGTTCACCTGCCAGCCATCGTGCTTCAGAGCCTCTCTGTGTTGGGGGAGTCATAACCTATCAAATTAAACATGACAGAGGCATGGTTATGGCGTGCTGGACATCTTCCACCCATCTATAGATAATACCGTTTGTGTAATATGGGTCAGGAGTGAGCTGCTGATTAGCTTCTGTGCTAAGTACATCTGCCACATCTTTCGCGATATTACCATGCTCTCCCTCAGGAGTGTCTGAGCTGAATTATATTCCACAATATTGTAGCTTTTCTTACTTCCATCTCTCCACATTTTGCAGATGCATGTTTTTAAAAACGGTGAAAACAAGCCAGAACAAATTGAATAATATTGACTTGTAAAGACATGCATTTCCACAGGAAAGAAGCCAATAGGAAAGGATTCAAAGTCTGTAGATTAATACTGGAAGAATATTTGAATTATTGATCTGCATTCCCTTTTGTTTCTTTGCTGTTATAGTAGGCTTGTGTATCGGGTTTGCATGGCAGGGTTTTGATAGTGGGGGGGGGGTATGTGGGTGGCTTCTGAGAGAAGCTGCCAGAAGCTTCCCCTATATCTGACAGAGCCAATGCCCAGCCAGCTCCAAGGCGGACCCACTGCTGTCCAAGGCTTAGCCCATTAGTGATGGTGGTTGCACCTCTGTGGTAATGTATTTAAGAAGGGGGGAAGGAAAGAAAACACCTGCACAACTGCAGCCAGAGAGAGGAGTGAGAATCTGTGAGAGGAGCAGCCCTGCAGCCCCCCAGGCCGGTGCAGCAGGAGGAGCTCCAGGCACCGGCGCAGAGATTCCCCTGCAGCCCATGGGGCAGCCCATGGTGGGGCAGGCTGTCCCCCTGCAGCCCGGGGAGGCCCACAGGGGAGCAGATCCCCACCTGCAGCCTGGGG